ACTCTACAAAAATAAACAAATAAATAAATAAATACGAAAAATTAGCCAGGTGTGTTGGCGCATGCCTGTAGTCCCAGCTACTGCTCGGGAGGCTAAGACGGGGGATAGCTTGAGCCCAGGAATTTGAGGCTATAGTGAGCTATGATCATGCCACTACACTCTGGCCAAAAAAGGTGTGCAACATCCTTAGTCATAAAAGAAATGTAAATCATAACCACAATGAGATGCCACTTCAGACTCATTAGAATAACTACATTTTACAAAGACTGATAATACCAAGCATTAGAGAGGACGTGGACCAACTAGAACTCTAATATACAAAGATGGTTGATAGTTTCTTATAAAGTTAAGCATATATTTACTGTATGACCCATCAATTTCAATCCTGTATGTTTACCTAATGAAAAGCTATGTCCACACAAAGGCTTGTACAGAAATGTTTATAGCGCCTTTATTCATAACAGCACAAAACTGGAAACAACCCAAATGTTCATCAACTGATGAATGGATAAATAGTGATATATCCACACAATAGAATAGTACTCAGCAATAAAAAGAAATGAACTACAAATGTTTATAAAAACATGAATGAATGTAAAATACCTTATGCTGAGTGATAGAAGCCAGACATAAAAGAGTGTTTACTTTATGATTCCATTCATGTAAAATTCTAAACAAGAGAAATCTAATCTGTAGTGACATTAAACATTTAGTGGTTGCCTGGAACTAGGGCTGGTGGGCAGGGAAACTGCCTACAAAGAGGCCCGAGGGATATTCAAGTAAAGCATATTCAAGTAATAGTGAGATACCATTTTATATTTATCACATTAACAAAGAATAATAAAGAATAATATGATGCCCAGTGTTGGTTTCTTTCTTACGCTGTTAATGGTAGTTTATGTCGATACACTTTCTCAAACACAATTTGACAAATTATATAAGCAATCTTTAAAAAGTACATTTTCTTTGATGTCAAATTTCCATCTCTTGGAATTTATTCTAAGGCAATATTCAAACACACCTGCACATATGTATGCATGAGATCATTTATTAAAGAGTGAAAACTGGAAACAATTTAAAGACTCAGCTATAGGAGAATGTTAACAAATTGTGATATACCCATTTAATGAAATAATAGACAACTATTCATTAAAAATAATCTTTTAAAGTGTCTCACGACATGCGGAAAAAAATCTCAAAATTCATTATAAGGTGACAAAAACTTTATAATCCATACTATGATCCCAATTTTCATATGATCCCACTATGCAACAGATATATATGCATACAATGTAACAGAAAGGGTAACATCTGCAAGTGTCAATAGTGATTATTTTTGGGTGGTGGGATTGTGGGTTATTTTTATCTTTTCTGTATTTTCCAAATTTTCTGAAATCAATATGTATGACTTTTGTAAAATGAAAATTAAAACCACAAGGACATATCATCTTACACCAGTCAGCAGAGCCATTACTAAAAAGACAAAAAAAGGAAATGTTGGTGAGGATGCAGATAAATGGGAACTCACTGTTGGTGGGAATGTAAATTGGCTCTTTGGAAAACAATATGGAGATTTCCCAAAGAACTAAAAATAGAACTACCATTCAATCCAGCAACCCCACTACTGGGTATCTACCCAAAGGAAAATAAATCATTATATTAAAAAGATACCTGCACTCATATGTTTATTGTAGCACTATTCAAAGAAACAAAGATATGGAATCAACCTAAGTATCCATCAATGGATGACTAGATAAAGAAAATATGGTATATATACACAACTGAATACTACTCAGCCATAAAGAAAGAATGAAATCATGTCTTTTGTGGCAACATGAATGGAACTGGAGGCCATTATCTTAAGCGAAACAAGTCAGACACAAAAAGACAAAAATTTCATGTTCTCACTTATATGTGGGAGCTAAATAATGTGTACACATGGACATAGAGTACAGAATGATAGACAATGGAGACTCAGAAGGGTGAGAAGAGGGAAGTGGGGATAGATGATGGGAAAATATTTAATGGCTACAATGTATGTCATTCAAGTGATGAATACCCTAACAGCCCTGATTTTACCACTATGCAATCTATGCATGTAACAAAATTGCACTTGTACCCCATAAATTTATACAAATCAAAAAGTATTTTGAAAAGATAAATGCAGTTTAATTAGTTTCAAATGGCATAGAGGTATATCCAATGCTTGCCACATTTTCTTCGTTGAGCCCAAAAGGCAATTATCTCATTAATTGCATATAAAAATACTTTTGCAGAATCAGATTTTTAAAAATTAAAAAACAATATGATCACTTATCAAACATAAATAGGCTAACTCAGGCTACCTTCAATGTGGTAGATGAATTATTTTAGATATTAACTAGCAATCCCTCCTCATTTTTTCTGCCAGGACCACTCTCAATGATCTTGAGTCCATTGACCCAGAAATCTAGACTGCCAGTGAGTAGGAGGGGGAAGACCCTCCCCCATAGTTTCTGGAGGTTTCTCTGTAGCATTGAGGAAGTCTGAAATTTCCAGTCCTCTATTGGAAATGGCAGAAACAGAGAGAGAGCCAGTGTGTCAGGCAGGGGTGAAGAACACCCAAATGCTGATATGTAGGCTGCCAACTTGGAACAAGAGAAGGAAGTAGCCACATCTTAGCGACTTGGTGGCATCAGGTAGCCAGATGGGATCCATATCAGGAAAGGGAACTTACATATCTCCTGAGCCCAGAGGAACACTCAGGATGAGTACACCAGTGACAAGATACATCACAGAAACTGAGTTGAGAGGAGGAGTCTGACCCTCCTCATTGCTATTGAGGGACAGTCCTTGCCTAAGTACCACTCAATCCAAGGAAGGAAAGAAGAAAGGAAACAGATCACCAGTGGTTGGAATTTGACTAAATTATAGACCTGCATAGAATGAGGGATCACCAAACTGGAAAAAGTTTACTTCAGATTGAGTAGATGAGTTTACAACTATCGACTGAAATGAAGATTGTATCAGAGAACAACTTGCTTTATACAGAAATAAAGTAAGTTTACATCTTTTCACATTTGAGTTTATTACTGTGAAATTTATACACTAAAATGAAACAATGGCAATAGAGTTGTCCTCAGTTACTCTTCCAAAATATTTGCATTGTCAAAAAAAAAAAAAAAAAGAACTGAGTGGATAGAGTTGTGCTTTACCTAAAGAAATAATTATGTGACTAGTGATGGAATATTATTTAAGCCCTGACCTAACCATATCCCCTATACTCTTGCTTCAATTTTTAAATCACCTATAATGGAAAAGTAATTGCAAATTACTAATTATATTCATTTATCCATTTTCCTACTTCCCATCACCCTATCATTCTTAGTCTTAGAATCCTAAGTTCGAGAGAGACATCAGAGTGAATTCAACTTCTCACATTAAAACAAACTCTAACTTCCTAAATAATCCATGCCAATTAGCTGCTAAAGGCAATACTTCATGTACAAGGCACAACAGAACTCATTCCAGGGAGTTTTAGCAGAATAGGAATTTATGAAGAATATCGAATAGCTCATAGAATCTTCAGGAAGGTCTAAAGAACCAGATTTGGAAGCCATACAGGCAAGAATAAGGTCCAAATTACAATGCTGGATCACTCACTTGGAAACTCTAGTGTCACCACCATTGGGTACAGGCTCCATAGGACATTACAGCCAGATCAACCATGCCGCTGCTTCCAAAAATTGGATGTCTCTCTGCCAGTTCACCAGGGTGGCTTCCACATTGGTAACATGTTCGCTCCAAATTGCAGTCTCATGTTGGCTTCCAGTTGGCAGAACCCTAGGGATATGTGCATGCTAACATCCAGGGAAGTTGTGAAAAAAGGGTTTCTGGCTTCTACCTTGGGCATGTGGGTATCGTAATTTGGGAATCTGCCCAAATGCTGGAAGGGTGTTCATAAACGCAAGGAGTGCAAAAAGCATGACTAATTCCCCTAAAGAAGTACATTTTATCATCGAGCTTCTTTAGCATTTTGAGTGAAATATTGACTTCTTGTACATGATATTCATTTTTCATAAACATCTGAAACATGCTCCCTCTTCCCTCTGCTATGCCTCTGCAAATATTTGAACACAGCTACCAAGCCTCTTTGAAGATTTTCTTCTTCTTGTCAAATATCTCCAGTTCTTTCGAATGTTATTTTTAGGACAGGATTTCAGGCTCCATGGGAATGAATAATCTGTCCTTCAGCATTTAGTTACTTCTGCTGAAGCCTCTTTTACATTATGTATCTGAACTATTAGACAATTGTGAGAGGTGAGGATGGAGAATTATATGCATATGTATATGTGTCATATATAAGTATATATTAATATTATATACATAAACACACATATATATCATATATATGGCAGACAGGATAATAGGTTCAGTGTACCCCTACTTTCTAAGGGAAGCAGTTGAGAAGGTTTGACCTTCCTTCATCACAGCATGTTAGGAAGTTGCCAAACATGACTTGGCCCAGTGACTACCTCTCCACTGACTATATATATAGACAGAAGACTAGCAAAATTCCAGGACAATTATTAGAGTTATGAGTTGCAGGCCCTGAGGGAGAAAAGTATTGTGACTTTTCCCCTCCCTCTCCATTAAACTGGGAGTGAAAAGCATGAGTATCTACAAAAGCTCAAAGTCACAGAATAGCTAGCACTCATGTGGTACTTCACATAATGCTGTTTCAGCTGATGTTCAGAATAATCGTGGGGCAAGCTGGGCAACCACCATTTTACTACGAAGAAGCTCAAGCGACTTGTTTTAGGCACAAGGAAGAATCCAGACTTGAACTCAAGTCCTTTGGCTCCAGAGCCCTGGGCATTTCCACTCTACCACACTCCCAGGGTGATAAGGAGAGGGAGAGACTGGGAGGAAGAACAAAAGGACAAGGGACACAGCTCTTGGAACTTAGGATGCTGAAGTTATTGGTTCATTATCTATTCGAAATGTATTGAAAACACGGGATGGCAAATCCATTTGCAAAGGGAACTGGTGAGGCAGCATGGGGGACATGCTTGAATGAATATGGATATAATTTTGCTTATTTTACTTTGATATACAACTGCAGTAGTCTCCTATGGTTGCTCTAACAAAATATCAAAAACTGGATGGCTTAAAACAATAGGAATTTGTTCTCTCACAGTTCTGGAGGCCAGAAGTCCAACATCTGTATCACAGGCTGAAATCAAGGTGTCAGCAGGGCCAAACTCCCTCTTGAAGCTCTAGGGGAGCATCCATTGTTGGCTCTTCCAGTTTCATGTGGCCACCAGCATTCTTTGGCTCATAACCACATCACTTCAGTCTCTACCTTCAAGGTCACATTGCCTTTTCCTCTTCTGTTTCATATCTGCCTCTGCCTCAGTCTTTTTTTTTTTCTTTCAGGGTATTATGAGGGTACAAACATTTTGGTTACATTTTATGTCTTTGCCTCACCCAAGCGAGGGTTAGAGGCATGCCCTTCCCCTCTGCCGTGCTCACCGTGCCCTTTAGTTGTGAGTTTACCCCCCCCAACCCCTTAATCCCTGGAGAATATCACTACCATGTGAGCACCATAGTGTTAATCAGTTAGTGCCAATTTGATGGCGAGTACAAGTGGAACCTATGCTTCCGTTCTTGTGATACCTCACTTTGGATAATGGGTTCAAGCTCAATCCAGGAAAATATAAGAGGTGCTAGGTCACTGTCGTTTCTTATAATTGAGTAATATTCCATTGTATACATATACCAAATTTTAATAATCCACTCATGAATTGATGGGCACTTGGGTTGTTTCCACATCCTTGCAACACAACCTCTGCTAGATGTACTCCCATGACAACAATTGACATTTATTAAGCACTTACCATGTACCAGGCATCATACTAAATACATGATATACATTATCTGCAACCTTCCCAAAGCCCTGCAAGGTTGGTCCTATTAAAACCATATATTTCTTTCTTGAAGGTTAGAGATAAGCTAAAAAAATATTTTAATGACACAAAACTATCCCTAATCAATACTAAACTCCACATTAGTTTTAGACTTAAGAATGAGGGACATTTTAGGATATTTTCAATTGTCCTATTGATTAAGGTAGATCTTTCTTCTGGTTAAACATGCTGCATTGGATGTGGACTTCATTATAAAGCATCAGGCAGACCCCATACCATGCAGTCCCAAGCAGGACTCTTTGAGGCTTTAGACAGTTGCACTAAAGGCACTCCAAGGAACCAATGTCCCCATGCTGCTCCTCTGAACTCAGCCCCACCCTGTCTAAGATTTTTGAGGGTATTGATAGGAAAGTGCTCCCAGCAGTCTTCATCCCTGGAAAGAGTTATGGTAAGAGTACACACTGATGCCCATTAAAAATACTACATGTTTACTATAGTTTTTCTTATGTCACTGAGAGAATAATCTCCACATAAGGACTTTTGTATGGTCCAGGAGACTAGAAAGTGAAACTTGAAAGAAAAACAACTCTCTTTGATTCTTTGTAACTTGAGGTCTCAACAGAAAGAACTTGGGAAGGTCTCTGCACAATTGTTCTTTGCCTTCTTTTTGGTCCATTAATCTACGTTGAAATCAAATTAACTTGGTATCCTAATGCATTTTCTTTTAATCTCTTTGCAGTAGAAGGTCTGACAAACCTGAAGATGTGTTTATTTCATTTGACCCACTTGTCTGACATTGGGGAGGGAATGGATTACATAGTCAAGTCTCTGTCAAATGAACCCTGTGACCTTGAAGAAATCCAATTAATCTCCTGCTGCTTGTCTGCAAATGCTGTGAAAACCCTAGGGTAACTGTTGCCTCCATTAACTGAATGAGAACAGTGTAACAGAACATGTAATATTTTCATACTACTGCACACTAAATCTCACAAATGGAAATTTAACTTTAAGAGAAATAAGAAGAGATAATAAAGACTTCCAGTTAATATCCAGCCTGTTTTTAATGATTTTTCTCCCTGCTGGAATTAAAATTAACTGTTGATGGAAAATAGTAGAGGATTTCAGAGTAATTGAAGATGTTATAACTTTAAGAGAGGTTGGAGAGGAAGAAAATAAAAAATAGGTGCTTGCAACTTGTCACATGTCCTGTCATATAATTACTGCCTAATAAATATTTGGATGAATGGATGAATAAATGATTGAGAAGCAGAGAGATTTTCTTAGATGTTGTCATGCCTCTGATTCCTACCCATTAGCCTGTTAAGATGGAGTTAACGTGCATTAATGTAACAGTTGAGTCTTCTGAATTCCCAAAGGATATGTATACCAAGTATGGAGAAACTTTGCAGATTCCTGCACAAACTTGGCATGTTTAATTCAGACATATTTTAAATTTTTGACGTTGGAAAAAAGATGATATAACTCTTTTAAAGTCAGACTATAAAACTGCTGCGAGTCTGTAAAGATCACTAAGAAAACCATTTGTATATGAATATAAATGTATAGCTAGAGAAACCTATGGTTGGAAAAGACTAGACAAATACCGGGAACCTGAGAACAATGCGCACACTCCTTTATTTCTCTACTTGCCATTCGGGAGAGACAGGCTTAGAAATGAAAATAGCAAATATACCCTTTTTAAAGAGAAATTCAGCAAGTTATTCATTTTAGAACACCACACCCCAGAAGATATTTCACGCTAAGAAAAGGACTCATGTCTTGGATGTAAGTCTATATTTAAAAAAATAAAATAAAATAAGTAAAAAAGAAAAGGACTCATATGATTGATTAAAATAATAGCTAATATAACAAGAGTATATACTCATGAAAAACCTGGTTTTTTTAAAGTATATTTTTCTAATTAGTCTTGATAGGAAAAACTTCAATTAGATTAAGCAAGAATGATAAATATCTGAAGTGAAGAAAAGAACTAAGAGGTTTTTAGCTAGAGTGATGCCATTATATGATTAATGTTTGCATACAAAATAGTTTTCTATATTTTTTACCTCAACATATTTGTGTCTTTGTCATTAAAATACATCTCTTGTAGACAGCATAGAGTTGGGTTTTTCTTTTTTATTAAACCTAGTTTTGATCATCTCTGCCTTTTAATTAGAGTGTTTAGTCCATTTGCATTTAATGTGATTATGGGAAAGAAAGAAAGAAGGAAGGAAGGAAGGAAGGAAGGAAGGAAGGAAGGAAGGAAGAAAAGAAAGAAAGAAAATAAGAAGAAAATAAAAAAAGAAAGAAAGAAAGGAGGGACAGAGGGAGGGAGGATGGATGAAAGAAAGAAAAGGAAAGAACTAATACATCCTGTCTGGGATTTGCTTCAGAATAATATGGGAGGTCTGGGCACGGTGGCTCATGCCCGTAGTCCCAGCTACTCAGGAAGCTGAGGCAGGAGGATCACTTGAGCCCAGGAGTTCAAGGTTGCAGTAAAGTATGATGGTGCCACTGCACTCCAGCCTCGGTGACAGAGAACCACAGACTGTCTTTAGAATAAAGAAAAAGAAAGAAAGAATAATACAGGAGGAATTAGGTCAGTATTAAGTAAGATTACTCCTGATACGATGTTTGTTCAAAATTTGCTTATTAGTACCTATAGTTTCATTATACTATTCTGCATCGTGTTTGTAAGTTCTTGAATGCATTCCATAAAAATAACCAAAAAACAAGCAGATTCTCATTGCAGATTGAATAGACGACTGAGCCACAAAACATAAGGATCATTCCTTCCCCCACATCCCTTCACCTTTTCTCAATTTTGAAATGATCCAGTTTCTGAACTGCTCTCTGTTACTTCAAGTCGCCAGGCTGAACATCCTGGAACAGCTAACTGCACTGATGCTGCCCTGGTGCTGTGGTCTGCAAGTCAGCCTGACCAGCCTGTGGAGCAACTGCAGGGAGCCCCACAGCTCACCAAGCTTGGGTTGAAACACTGGAGACTCACAGATGCAGAGATTAGAATTTTAGGTAGGTACACACACACACACACACACAGAACCAAGAGAAAAGGGGTTGGCCCTAGGAAACTTCTAAAGTTGTCTTTATTTATTCTGCCTCCTCTTTTAAAAAATATATAAAAATATGTTTAAAGAGCCTTCACACATATTAAGAAGTAAGATGATTTAAACACTGGCCTTCTTTCAGGTTTTTAACCATTTTACAACATCTCTAATCATTAGAGAAATGCAAATCAAAACCACAATGAGGTATCACCTAACCCCAGTGAGATTGGCCTCTAT